TGCAGGGGGCGGCCGGGCACCCCACTGTGCAGAAACAAGCCGGGGTGCCCTGAAAGAGGCCAAGGCACCCCAAGAAGCCAGTGCACCCCGAAAGAGGCCAGTGTGTGCATAGAAAGAAGTCAGTGTATCCCCAAGAGGCCAGTACACCCAAAGGAGACAACAGAACCCCTAATTACTGCACCCCAAGAGGCCGGTATACCCAGAAAGAAGCCAGTGCACCCTGAAAAAGAGCAACCGCTGAGCTAGGGAGGAAGGGGAGCAGGACCAGCGGAAGCCTGCGCCGAGGCCCAGGGGCCCCACGCGGACGCGCTCCCCGCTCCCCGCACGGGCGCCCAGGTCCCGCAGGGTGGCCCCTGGTGGCCACGCTCGCCCAGGCCGGTGTCCCTGAGGTGAAATGGTCCCTGGCACGTGGGAACGCGTGTCCTGGCCCGGCGGCGCCAGCTGGGGGACTTTCACCTTCAGAGTGCGGGAGGGCGGGCGGCTGGACACTCCCACGCCCACCGGCCGCCTGGACAGGGGCCGCTCGCCACACCAGGGCCCTGGGCGTGCCCCCGTTTCCGTGGGGCTCCCCCAGAGCCCTCGGCCCCCCGCCACCCCAGCTCCACCCAGGGCGCTTCGGAGGTCCCCACCTCCGAAGGGGGCCGGACGCCCCTGCCCAGGCTCAGACCCGCGGGGGGGCCAGCCCTTTCTGGGGAGCTGCGCCCCAGCACAGTGCGGCACAGAGGCCGGTGCCCGAAGACGAGGGCAGGACCGGCCCAGCGTGTCGGCACGGGGGCCCCACAGCCGCCTGCAGACACCTGATCTGGGGCACAGCCTCTGGCTGTCTGTGGCGGGCCCCTGCAGGCCAGCAGGCAGGCGGGCGGGCAGGGGACACAGGGGAGCGCAGGGGGTGCAGGCAGGTCCCGACCACCAGTGCGCGCGCTGGCCCTGGGGAAAGGGCACCGGGTCAGGGCGAAGGGACTCCCCCGGGGGGTGCCTGGGGCAGTGGGAGGCCCTCGAAACGCACCGTCCTGCGCAGTACCGACCGGGGTGGGGTGGCGGCTGCAGAGCAAGGGTCGCGGCAGGAGGGGCCGCGGGCAGGCAGGTGGACACACACGAAGGAGCCACGGCTGTCGCGGGCCGTGGGGAGCTGCTTATATAGCCACAGGGGGCGGGGCCTGGGCCACCTTATGCAAATGAGGGTTTCAGTCCGTGCAATTCTAATTGGTGGGCAGTTTGTCAAGCGGCTATTGGCCGAGTGTCAGCCTGGGCGTGGCTTGCCGGTGGGGTTTCGCTGCCCGGCCGTGGCTGCCGGAGCCCAGTCCCAGCGCGGGGGCGCCTGGACTCCGCACCGCACCCCCGGCCCCGCAGTGCCTGCTCGTGACCCTCAAGAGTCCGGTTCCCGCCCCGGGCGTGGACGGCTCCCGCGGTGTCTGGCCTCATTCGCCCAGCCACTCCCCCGCCCCAGTAGCTGCCGAGGGAGCAGAAGCCCTGGTCACCCTTGGGCCCGCTCGGGCGTCGCAGGCTGCAGAGACGCCGCCGCGGGGTCCGCGAGCTGGTGCTTCTCTGACTTGACAGGTTTTGGGGGGCAGACATGTCTTCTTCCCGAAAGTGTCGCTGCTAAGAATGTGTTGAAGGAGCCCGGGGGCGCAGCCCCCAGTCCGAACGAGCCTGCAGCAGCCCGGCCAGCAGCGCGGGCCGCGCCCCAGTGGCGGGAGCGG